CACGCTCGTGCACATATAGACATCAGCAAATTGCTTTTTGTTTTTAGTAACATATATTGTATTGACAAGGTGAATACATGACGAATAGTGATGATGATTCTTTGTTAATTGATAAAACATATTACTTCAATGAGAATGTTGAATGAAATAATTTTAAATATTGATTCAACTTGTTAATGAGAGTCAATTTGATAATGTCTTTAACTATTGTATCCCTCTAGATCTTTCCCATTGGTCCTCTTTTGTTTTTTTCGAATCAAGTGAAATTAGAGTTTTTCTTGAGTATTGATGAATCATCTACATCTATCACATTTGTGAGAGTTACTTGGTTCTTGCTTTCAAAACTGGTGTATTTGATTTGTGAAAGATCGTCATTAGTAAATGGAATGTGTGAAGTATTTAATATAGTTCGCATTATTCTTTTACAGTGCAGTGTTTTTATATTTCGTCAGAGTATGTTTTAAGTCAAGGAGAATGATAAAAACGAAAAATTACTCATTCAATTGAATTCGCTTTCGATTGGTGCAATAGACATTAAGTGTCAGTCCACGGCTGAATCGAGCATTTTGGTAATCGGCTGTCATAGAAAAAATTTTGACCTATCTTTTTTAAGATCGCAAATGAAAGAGCGTGTAAAGAAACCTCTGAATCCAAAAGTTTAGCCCTGTCTGACTGACGTTTGAATAGATATGAGAGAAACATTGAAAGTAATTCGATGACACTCTAAGCATAATCATCATGTTTTTCATGTCTTTTTTCGTGTTTTTTATAGAAAACGTTTTGTAAAAGGTATGGGCCGACAAAAAACTCTGATGGCTTCGATAGAGTAAAAAAACTGCACAAGATACATCTAAACAAGTAGTATTAAAGTTAGCGCATAGTGCTCTAATTTAGGTCGGAAGATAAAAAAAAGTACTATGCTTCTATGACATTTCTCTGTTATTTTCGAAACATCTCAATTGAACGGTAATACAAATATGATTGTTTTCCATTATGAAGGCTAAGCAATATAGAAAATCTTGCATCGACTTGAGATACTAGTTGAGAGGTGTTGTATACTTCATAAATCAAGGATGTAGAAAA